GAGAAAAGGGACCTTTTTCCCTAAAGGGGGGGTGGGGGGGGGGGGGGGTGTGGAGGGTTGGTAGTCCCACTGCAAGGGTTAAGAACACTTTTGTCTGGAGTTCTTCTTACGCAGACAATTTAAGCTGTACATTACACAAGTTTATGGTATTTCTAAATACTCTAAATAAGATGGTACCTCAGGGGCAGGTCCATGGCAGTTCACAGCATGACCTCAGTGTTTCAAGTTCAATGTTGGGGACTGAGGACATCTAGTGGCGAAAATAAATTACTGGGGAGGCCATGCCAGAAAGAAGGGGAGTACTGCAGCCTGAGCTGCTTCTTTTTGCCAGAGGATATATATATTTAGCCCAAAGTTAGACTTTAAACATTTCCTTTTACGTGATGTTTCAGATGCAGTGAGTCACAGCCAACAAAGATTATCTTTACAGAGAAAATAAGCGATATATTCTGTCAGAAAACAGTAAACAGTGGGTGATACAGATTTATTCACGGAAGACTTGGAAAATATTTTCACACCAAACACGGGAATAACCAGCAATACATCACAGAATAGAAACTGTGTGTCATCATTGTGCTTCTATAATATGGAGGTTATATACATTATTTATGAACCTCAATTACACACTGGGAATAAAACAATTACTCTGCCTCTGTTTCCAATAAACATTTCAAACCTTATCTACAATTCACTGCGTCCCCCTCGGTTTCTTCATATTGCACTAACAGGAATCCAAGCAATTTAAAACAAAAAGAAAGATTATTTTCTCCCTACAGACCACCTGGGCCTCAAGGTACATTAAAGGGAACTGGTCACAGCTGGACTTTTATAGGAATCTAAACATAAGTAATATAACTCTGCAGGACCCTTTTTTTACCTTTAAATACTTTGTCTGAATTTAAAACTTCAGTTTGTGTCGGAGGGGTCAGAGGTCACCTGAATTCTGCCTGACCTTATACATTGCCCACTCAGGAGCTGGCAGACAGCATATGTCTGAACCAGGTAAAAATTCTACGCCTAGTATCCAAGAATTTTCTTGCTGTGTTGTACTGCATGTGTCAATCATGATGTAATGGTGCACATCATTGCTTCCAGTGGCTTCCAAAAGCAACAAAAATGATTATACATGTCTAGTTTAGGAAGTCAGCTGGTATAAAACTACTGATAAGTTATATTTAGAGAATTTACTAAGCATTTACTGTAACAATTTTTTGTGGTGAGAAGCTCTGGGGTGGGAGGCAAGTTCATATCTATTAGGAGGGATGTGCGGGGATGCGATAATTTGTTACCCTTTATAATGGGGCTGCATGATCAGAAGCATTGCTATTGTTGGTGCATTGCCGTGAAGGTTGGGGCCAGGAAAAGCTATAGTACTTTGCAGATGTAGAGGGTGCAACAGCCAGGTCCAAAGCCCTTATATTGAAGGGTGGAGTTGGGAAACTCTACTTTGCAGAATCACAGGCTCAGGAGTTCCCAAAACATCAGGCTACCAGATGGCACATCATTTTACATAGTGACCTGGTTTTATAGCTGTGTAGGTAGATAGACTGGTGCCCACAACAGAGTTTCTGGAACCACAAACCCTGCACCAAATTTGAATGCAATGGATGCAAACATCAGATGTGAATTTCACTGTAAACAGCAATGTCTCTCTGTCACCTGTCTCTAAAGGTGGCCATACACTTTACAACCATCGCAAGACCTTAGTCTTGCGATGGTTGTACAGTACTTTAAAAAACGTACGATCGGCCCATCTTGGACAGGCAGATCGTACTCTCGATCAGCGCAAGCCCGCCCCCCTGAGGGGCGGGCTTCCGATGACCGCAATGCTGAACGGGCAGTGTGCGCGTGCGCACACCGGCCCGTTCGGCATTTGTCTCCCGAGCACCGTTTTCTAGCATGCTCCTTAGACAAAAGACGTGCGACCGTACAGTAGTAACGGTCGCACGTCTTCGTTCACACTGCTTGATTCTGGTACGATCGCAGGATTTCCCGCGATGCTCGTACAAGAATTGAGCAGTGTATGGGCACCTTTACACGTATCCACACTTTTTACAGTTTACTCGATCTTTCCACCTTTAGTGCCCATTCACACCTCTGCTGTGTGGTGCATTGTGGTAGTATGCACATTGTGTGCATTAGTGTGTTGCAGTGCCATTTACTTTGAGTGTCCCTTAAAACACTAAATGCAGGATTGTGAATTGAAGCGCCACACTCCATTTATTAGTCACGCTACATCTTTATTTAATTTAGGGTTGGGGGGACAGTATAGAGATAGCCAACATGTTTCAGGGACACATACAAATACACCTTTCATCAGGGTTGGGGGACAGTATAGAATTAGCCAACATGTTTCAGGGACTCATACACATACAGTACCCCCTTCATCAGGGCTTACTAAGGGAGACCAATTTGTCAGGACTGTGGTGGCTTTAAATTGGATACCATTTTGTCCAGTGTGTGAGAATACATAGAGCTCGTCGCCAGCTGATATTGAATAAATGGAGTGTGGCATTTCACAATCCTGCAGTTTGACAATACAAACTATGGGGATAGTGGTGATCCTCTTGAATGTTGGTAGTGATATCACCTATACCAACTCTCTCATAATTGGCAAGCCACGCCGAGAGGATACACCTTGGGCTTTTATTCTACTTTATTCCAGTACCCTAAAACTTTAAGGCAATGCAGTTCCAAGGCACATGTGTTGCAACACACCACAATGTATAGTAACACTTTACTGTGTGTTGTATTGAGCTGCATTTCCAAAGATAATGCATGTCCTTTAGTGGACGTTTTGGTGTGTTGCCAGCCCTTTCATTTGAATGGGCTGCCTTAATGCAACATATAGTAGCTAGTGCAAAAACGTGCATTAACGCAATGCAAAGGTGTGAATAGGCCCCTACACTTAACCCAATACATAAAATTGATCCCTTAGCACTAAAACCACACTGCACAATCTAGCTATATTGTGTACCCTTAACTCTACTGTCAGTGCCAGGGTTTGTTTGCGAGCATCTGTGCATGTGCATGCACCTGGTTTGGCTCATAGAGCTTTGCCTGGCTGCATGTCTTTGCACAGATGTGTGCGCATCTGTGTGCATGCTTCACCGCGTGTGCGCAAGTGCGCATATATGTGTCATTTGAATCCTGGCATCTGATGAGCTATTTAGTCTGTGACATCTAGACCTTCTGTGCTGAGTGATCATCAGCTAACCCTGATTTTGATCATCTGTTACCGACCTTCCACTGCTACTCCGTGCTGTTCCTCGACCCCCACAACTGGCCTGTAGTCTTGTACCTTACCTTCCGCAAGATACTGACCCTGGGTTGTATTTCCTGATGTCATCCCTGCCTGTCGCCTGGTACTGCTCTGACCACCTGTTGACGACTTGGCTTGAATTAACCATGGGTCTTAAGGAACTCTGTTCCCTGGAAACTCATCAGAATCACAGAGACTGAATCATCCAAATATGGTGACATCTTTTAACAATCGCGCCTTTCCATGTCCCTGCACACTTGTTCTGCCACCCAGGAGCCCTGGGACTGGAGCTCCAAGGAAGGCCGCTCTCGTCCATTTGAGACTCCACCAAGGTACGTGACATTTACACTTCACATGAACACCCTTAATGCTTACAATAATTCTTAACATTTAAACATTTCCAACAAAACTTAACAAGCCTAACCCCTGACCAGTGATCAGACTGCAACATTGTAACATCATAGCAAGTCACTAGGTAAATAGCTGCAGCAAGGGCTAATCTGTGTCAGACATTTGTCATCACAGCCAATAACTGCACAGGTCACCCAATTTACATGATCGTGTCATCTCTGAGCCAACATCTCAGTCTACAAAGTCAGGGGCATTATGCTGTATGAGTAAAGCAGATGAAGGAATTGTCAGGGGTAATAAACAATAAGACATGTTACACTACTTAACATATCTGCTGTTAACAGGAACAAATACATGGATCTGATGATAGGTGAAATTTTCCTATCACCAGAACTATTGGGCCAATACTCTCCTTACCATTCACCTATATATAACATCCTGTATTATTATTATATCAGCTGGTAATATGCTCTGTGCTGTGCTGCTTGTATGTATTTCCATGCTAATATTTGGCTTACCTTATGTGCACGTTTAAGAATATAGCACCAAAGAGAAGCAAAACAAAACAACAAAGTTTACAATAAATGTGCCCTGATTCTGGCTATAAATTAACTTATTAAGTACAATTATAGTAACAGCGTGAGTTGGACAGAGCAGCTGCATCTCCGCAGTAGAGCACAATCCATCAGTGCTGTAATGGAAAGAACCATTAAGCTGTGATCAAGCGTTTATCAAGAGTCCTTCAAATCCGGGAGCAATTAATGGGCAGGTGAAGTCTTAGTAATGGTATAAGTAATCTCCGACGGCACCGTGCAGCATCAGATCCCATATTCACCTGGAATCCTATGCACCGCAATACAACAACAACATCCAACAATATACACATCCCAATAACTGCACCATAGAGAAAGGGTTTGAAATAGATGTTTTAACCCTTTTGCTGCCAGAGCCGTTTTTGCATTTTTTGTTTGCACACATGTTAAAGTGCACATTTTAGGCCTGAAGATTACTCAAAAAACCCCAGAATTATATATCTCCTGAAAGCAGGGGCCCAGGAGAACAAAATGGTGGCAGTTGCAATTTATTATCAAACCCAAATTTTCAGTAAAAATACACTTAAAGGAGAACTATGGTGTTAAGGCTTTTCCCCATAGTTCTCCTTAGGGTAACGAGAGGACACAAACTTTCATCCTCCCGTCACCTTAGGCTCAGTAGCTCGCGGTATACTGAGACGCCGCAGCTGAAGCGGATCCCGACAATTATGCCGGGATCCGCCCAGCTGCGTGACTGACAGCTGGCTCTGCCTATCTAGAGGCAGAGCCAGCTGTACCCGCCCCCTCCCCCGCCCGTTCCACCAGTCAGCGCTGGCAGATCGGAGCGGGGAGGGGGGAATCCAGCCGTGACAGGATCAAGAGGTGAGCGAACGCCGGTATGTGTTCGCTCACCTCCCGATCTACTGAGCCGACCTGTGACAGTCTCCTTGTCACAGGTCGGCTAGAACTATGAGGTAAGTGAAAAGCACTCACCTCATAGTTCTAGGGGTAAGTGTTTTTCCCCATAGTTCTCTTTAGGGTCACGGCAGGACATATACTAACCTCCTCCCGTGAACCAAAGCTCAGTATATAGCGGGCTATTGCCTGTGATGTACTGAGAGCACCGCAGCCGGGACGGATCCTGACAATACTGTCAAGATCCACCCAGCTGTGTGAGTGATAGCTGGCTCTGCCTATCTAGAGGCAGAGTCAGCTGTGCCCGCCCCCTCCACCATTCGTTCCTCCACTGACAGTCACCGCTCACTGCAGGGAGACGATCGGGAAGTGAGCGGATCAGCGGCATGTTTTTGCTCACTTCCCGATCTATAGAGCCGACCTGTGATAGCTTCTTTGTCACAGGTCGGCTCTAACTATGAGGATGAGTGGAAATCACTAACCTCAGCACTAAGTAAATAGTTAGCAAACATGTCAAGCTTCAAAATTGCGTGCACCCGTGCAATACTATGGTACCCAAAAAGTTATGGTACTCAAAATTGTCTATAGCCAATGCTTTAAAAGCTTTTACAGGTCATCAGTTTAGAGTTAACCAAGAATAATGGCCCTTAGGATTATTGCTCTCACTCCAGCCTGTGTGGCATTACCTAACATGCGTGGCACAATCAACGTATTTGTACATAGAGGTCTATTAGACCCCTAATGTCACCTTTTGTTCTTTAATGAAGCTCCTCATGCTTGACCAGCTTCTTTCCCAGCCTCCGTGTCATGGAATGACAACTCAGAAAGTGAAAGTGACTAAATTATTGTCTTGCGATGGTAGAGAAAACTGAAATGACCAGACCCTATGTCAGTCTATGGGAAGTCAGATGTAAATGGACACGTGTCTGTTTACATCAGATTACCCCCTGATCCACCACAATCAGGTCTGGCGCAACAGAACACTGTTCATTCGCAGCCGGATGGCAGAAAAAAACTGAAATGACCGGACCCATGTCGGTCTATGGGGAATCCGATGTAAATCAATTAAAATTTCAGTTGCCACCATTTTAATCTCCAGTGCCTCTACTTTCAGGAAATATATAATTCTGGGAGTTTTCGAGTAATCTTCAGCCTAAAATGTGCATTTTAACATGTGTGCAAAAAATGCAAAAATGCCCCTGGCAGCAAATGGGTTAAAGTGTCTATTTCAAACCCTTTTCTGGACCTGGTCACAGCCAGGGGCAACCAGATGGCTACCAGGGGCTTCCCATAGACTAAAATTGGGCATCGGATCGAGTCCGTCTGAAAAACTGACAGGCGGACCTGATTGGACCACCCATCTGAAAGGGGTCTTAGAGTGAAAATGCTCACACAGTGTACCGTAGCTATAGTGGAGCAGCATTGTCACCCAAGGCTCTCCTGATTTGGACTACCGAACACCTCCTCCTCTCCATTACATAAAGGGGAGGTAGTTTACAGAGAGGTGTTCTGTAGTTTACAGAAAATAGTTGGGAAAGCTAATAACATAGTTTGACTTCAGTCCACATGAAGTTACAAGGTCTCTGGAATTCTAGAATGATCAATGGGTATTTTTCTGTACTTGCAAAAAATGTGCTTAAAGGAGAACTATGGGGTCAGTGTTTTTCCCCATAGTTCTCCTTGGGGTAACGGGAGGACACAAACTAGCGTCCTCCCGTCACACTAAGCTCAGTATACCGCGAGCTACGGCTGGCGTTATCCTGAGACGCCGTACCTGGAGCGGATCCCGACTTAGATGACGGGATCCGCCCAGCTGCGTGAGTGACAGCTGGCTCTGCCTATCTAGAGGCAGAGCCAGCTGTACCCGCCCCCTCCCCCGTCCGTTCCGCCAGTCAGCGCTGGCAGATCGGAGCGGGGAGAGGGGAATCCAGCCCCTCCCCCTGTCACGGCAGAGAGCCGTGACAGGATCGAGAGGTGAGGGAACCCGGTATGTTTTCCCTCACCTCCCGATCTACTGAGCCGACCTGTGACAGTCTCATTGTCACAGGTCGGCTTAGAACTATGACGTGAGTGGAAATCACTCATGTCATAGTTCTCCTTTAGTCTAAAAAAATTACTTTATTGGGGCCGAAATAGGACTCAGGAACACGTACCGGCCAGGGATCTCCTCCTTATTCTATATGAAATGCAGTCTGCAGAGCAGGCATTGAACTTAGACCAAGGGGTGAATATGCAGTCCTCTCTGCAGGGCACGTTACACTCCTGTGCTGTAGGTGGAGCAGGACCGGCCCATCTGATACACTCAGTCACATCTACTGGACGATCACCGGCAGTAACACAGATCATCTCTGGAAGACACAAGAAACATTTTCACTTCTCCATTACATTTACAGAGATACACTAGTTAAAGAAAAAAAAATTCATTATTGCGGCCCCCTCTTCTAGACTGATTTCAATAAAAAGCCATTGTAATAGAAAATGGTGTTACATGTTTGATGTCCGTCCAGTAAGGGATGAGTCAAATCTCTGAATAAATTTAGCTTGAGCTGTTGAGCTCTGAAACATCAGATGTTTTAAAGCAGGTGTTGCCCCCCCACCCCTGGATAAAATAAAAATGAAAATATTAATGTGCAATATTTCACATTTACCTCTGTAAACAAAGTAATTATATACTTTTTATATACTTTTGTTCTGTACCATAAAAAAATAAAAAATTAAGATGCAATATTATACTATATATACACAATACTATAGCATATACTCATATATACTTGTGACGACATGGTGATGAGTTTATAAGTTAAATGTGTATTGGTGTTGGGTTGTGTTTGAGTGCGTTATGCTGTGTGACCTGGTTATGAAAAGAGTATCAGCACCCCCCCTCCCCCCTCGTTATCTCCCATTGTTCTCTGAGGGAGCTCAGAACAATGACATTCTGGCCAGGCCCCCTGCTATGGCTGTCTGGAGCTATTTAGCAGGTGGACACCTGTGGTGTTGTGAAGATCATCATACAGTTCCTTTAAAAACGAATTCGTCCAAAGTTAAAAAAGAGTCATATTTAAGGTAGAAAGGAAATTTAATTTTTTTTCCTGATCATGAATGACTTTATATAGTTAGGTTGCAAAAAGACACACGTCCATCGAGTTCAAGCCAAAGACTAAAATAAATAAATTAAAAATCTTGCATTCTCAAAACCTTAACCTCCCAGCTGATCTACAGTAAGGCAAAGCACCTTTCCAAAGGAGTTGTAAAGTCCCAGCATATCCTCTCCTGTTATAACATCAGCATTGTAATAGGAATACATACTAGACTTTTTGATAATGCAATTACTTGATATAATCCCTTTTATGTAGTGAGTGCCGCCTTCTGTCTGCCCATCACTCTGCCAACTTCCTGGATTCCCAGTGTGCTTTGCATCTCTTTTCACTGCTGCTTGATGTGATGCAATTTCAATTTCTCAAGGCTACATATCCCATCATGCATTGCCTCCAGAAAGCAATGATAATGTTACATGGTTAAGTCATTGAGTTCAGAAGGCAGATTCTGTGAAAGTTGTGAAACAAGTAACTGCATATTCACAGGGCTGAGTGAAATTGTGTCAGTGCATTGATGAAATGTATAGTATGAACATCTTTAAGTAAGTTTACAAACTTCTAGATGGATGTGGTTATTAGGAGTGGGATAGAACATATGGAAATTCAATGTAGAAATACAGATTTTTAGTTTTTGACCAATTAAAAAGCGATCCAATTTGCTCTAACAGAAAAAAAAACAATACTGCACCAATATGGCTGACAGTTGGATTGATTTGCTCTTATTTACAGTTACTAGATTGGTTTAGAACCATAAAGAAGGTCTGCATACTGTATATGGAGCTCTTCTATAGATACAAAGAGATAATTAGATGTCTTGTAGACAGCAATGAGATGCAGTTGATATGACACGGCAATGTCTGTTCTTTTCATCTCCGTAGTAACTTGCCCCGTGTATCTGACTCATGTACAATAAAGAGTCAAACTCTGTCTAGTACTTTAAAAAGAAAGCATTTTAAAGTGTGGATTTAAAAGCAGAGGCTTGCAAAGAAGTAAACCACCTCACACTGCGTGAAGGAAAAGACCTGAATCCAGAGAGATCTGTCATCTTCACAAACTGTGACTTCTAATAAGTGACAGACAGCATGGCGGGGACAACGCGTCTTCTCCGCTGCAATGCAGAAAACTAGTCACAGTCGGTCCTGTATATGGGAACACAACGTCTTGGCACCATTTGTATAGATGTGTTCTGGTATTTTAATTGGTAGATGTATTTAAAGGAAACTAATGTGTCTTCAGTACACATTATTTGCTGCTGTTATATTATATGATACACACTGAACAGCCATAACATTATGAGCACCCATCTAATATTGAGTAGGTCCCCCCTTTCCTGGCATGGACTCCACTAGACCTCTGAAGGTATGCTGTGGTATCTGGCACCAAGCCGTCAGTAGCATATCTTTTAAGACCTGTAAGTTGCGAGGAGGAGCCTCCATGGATTGGACCTCCAGCACTTCCCACAGCACATTGCAGTTTTCCCAGCAAAATTCTACAGATGCTCAATTAGACCTAGATCTGGAGAATTTGGATGCCAATCCAACAACTCAAACGTTGTGTTCCTCAAACCATTCTTGAACCATTTTTGCAGTGTGGCCGGGCGCATTATCCTGCCGTCAGGGAATACCATTTCCATGAAGAGATGTACTTGGTCAGCAACAATGATTAGGTAGGTAGTATGTGCCAAAGTAACATCCACATGAATGGCCGGACTCAAGGTTTCCCAGCAAAACATTGGCCAAAGAATGACACTGCCTCCAATGGCTTGCCTTCTTTTCCAAGCAGAAACAAATATATATATATATTTTTTTTATTTTCCTTGCACATGATTGGGTATCCTTTGCAAAGTTGAGTTTTCACCACATTCACTAAGCTAAGGGTAAATACCCTTGCATCAGTCTGTAATAAATAAACCCCACTGTGCTTAAATGTTTTCAAAATCTTGTTTCTATCTGGGCAGTTGTAAAGGATAACGTTCGTACAATTATCCTTAAATGACCCCATGTACTCACCTGTTCACACTCTCCACAGCAAGTTCCGGGCTCTCCCCCAACTGGTGTCAAAGTCTTCTGCTCTTGGGTAGATAAAATCCTATTCATTTCTAAAGAGGGGTTGTCTATCACGCATCTCAACTGGACAGACTACCCATTGAAATGAACTGGATTTGTCCACACATGCACAGAAGACCTTGGAACTGAGCGGGAGAGTTCTCAGTGGTTCCCCATGGAACACAAAGCATGGATATGCCAGGATCATAGACCAGTGAGTATAAATACCCCTAGTCATTTAATGGATAACTTTACAAAGGTAAAGTTAATGAGGGGAATTGATCAAAACTGGAGCAGACAAAATCTGGAGCAGATTGGCAAGTTGATAATCCCTTGATGGTATCGTACACCAAGGTGGCTATACATAGGGCCCTGTTTACCGCTAGACGTCTAGTGGCAAGGAAATGGATGGCCGCCTCCCCTCCCACTATATCTGAATGGATCTCTGAGTTAGACCAGATTCTAATGTTTGAATGCATCACTTATCAATATAGAGGATTTGGGGCAATAAATTCTCTTTACTTTGGTCCAGATGGCTACTGTACCGTACACATTAAAGGAGAACTATGAGGTGAGTGCTTTTCACTCACCGCATAGTTCTAGCCGACCTGTAACAATTAAACTGTCACAGGTCAGCTCAGTAGATCGGGAAGTGAGCGAACACATACCGGCGTTCGCTCACCTCTCGATCCTGTCACGGCAGAGAGCCGTGACAGGGGAGGGGCTGGAATCCACCCTCCCCACTCCGATCCTCCAGCGCTGACAGGCAGAACAGACGGGGGAAGGGGGCGGGTACAGCTGGCTCTGTCTCTAGATAGGCAGAGCCAGCTGTCACTCACGCAGCTGGGCGGATCCAGACATAATTGTCGGGATCCACTTCAGCTGCGGCGTCTCAGTATACCGCGAGCTGTAGCTCGCGGTATACTGAGCTTAGGGTGACGGGAGGACGCTAGATTGTGTCCTCCCGTTACGCTAAGGAGAACTATGGGGAAAAGCCTTAACCCCATAGTCACGCAGCTGGGCGGATCCCAGCATAATTGTCGGAATCCACTTCAGCTGCGGCGTCTCAGTATACCGCGAGCTACAGATCGGCGGTATACTGAGCCTAAAGTGTTATATACTATATATATATACAGTACTGTATATATTTATTAGTAGAATAAAAATATATATAATAGTAGAAGTAAAGGAAACAATAACATATGTTAAACATTTTATAGAAGAATAAGAATAAAAAAATAATAAAAATAATAATTGGATAAGAATACAAACGTTTGTAAATAAAATGGTTCACTATTGGGGAGAAGTACTTGCGGTTATTCATTCTGTTTTTGTTATATTGTTAGATAACAGACCCAGAGTATGCATACTTGCAATCTTTGATAATCCCTTGATGGTATCGTACACCAAGGTGGCTATACATAGGGCCCTGTTTACCGCTAGACGTCTAGTGGCAAGGAAATGGATGGCCGCCTCCCCTCCCACTATATCTGAATGGATCTCTGAGTTAGACCAGATTCTAATGTTTGAATGCATCACTTATCAATATAGAGGATTTGGGGCAATAAATTCTCTTTACTTTGGTCCAGATGGCTACTGTACCGTACACATTAAAGGAGAACTATGAGGTGAGTGCTTTTCACTCACCGCATAGTTCTAGCCGACCTGTAACAATTAAACTGTCACAGGTCAGCTCAGTAGATCGGGAAGTGAGCGAACACATACCGGCGTTCGCTCACCTCTCGATCCTGTCACGGCAGAGAGCCGTGACAGGGGAGGGGCTGGAATCCACCCTCCCCACTCCGATCCTCCAGCGCTGACAGGCAGAACAGACGGGGGAAGGGGGCGGGTACAGCTGGCTCTGTCTCTAGATAGGCAGAGCCAGCTGTCACTCACGCAGCTGGGCGGATCCAGACATAATTGTCGGGATCCACTTCAGCTGCGGCGTCTCAGTATACCGCGAGCTGTAGCTCGCGGTATACTGAGCTTAGGGTGACGGGAGGACGCTAGATTGTGTCCTCCCGTTACGCTAAGGAGAACTATGGGGAAAAGCCTTAACCCCATAGTTCTCCTTTAACTGAACAAACTGAAGAGAGAAGCTGATTGGTTGCCATGCACATCTGCTCCAGATTTTGTCTGCTCCAGTTTTGATAAATTCCCCCCATTGTCTTTTAGGCATGGCATGGCATGTCATTGATGATAGCTTCT